GAAAGTAAATTATTTCATCTCTGAACTGTTTGCTCCTTTTATCGTATTCAGTATGCTATGAATACCATTTATCAATTGTTTATTTTCAATCAGCTTAAAGTTCCTTGAGCTTTGTTGTAGCTATATTTACACATGAACAAAACACTTCCTTTTTTCTGCAGGTAATGGTAATCAAAGTGTTGATGAAGACACTACCCATTTAGCAAGTTTTTTAGTAGGACCTTTGGTTCAAAGCAATACTAGGCCGTCTACTAGTAATGTTGGTAATAGACAAGATGCTGGTCTTCCTCCTATGCATGATCTTGATGTGGGTGTTATACTCTCTTCCTCCCGAGCTCCTTTCAGAAATAAATGAAATTTACAATGGGGAATTATTGAACTTTATTTCAGAAAGGAAAAACATTAGAGCTGATATATGCCACAAAAGTTTGGATGGTAACTTGTTAAATCTGTTCTTTTATGGACAAACACACACAAACACATGCACATCCATATTTCCTTTTTCATGATGGGTTTCTTCCTTGTCATAAGCAGGTACACTCAGTAAGGAAAAGACACGTTCTTCTAGTTGCCTTGGTTCATCGGATAATTTGGTAAGTCGTCAGGTATTCGAATGGATTAATTACATATAATGTATCAGTATTTCATCTTATAGTGAGATAATATCTTTAGTATCCCCGATTCATCTAATAGTGAGATAAGATTTTGATTAATTGTCTTCTAATATTTTTATTACGTGCATCAATATATAAAGGAGAACGCTCCTGCAGACTCTTGCTCTGGTGCTGCTTCCAGTTTAGAGAAATCAAATATGAATATTAATGGTTGTTCTGATGTAGAGGCATGTATAATGCCCTCTTCTCTAAGTCAAGTAGATACCTCAGTGTTGCAGCAGCTGCCTGAGGAGTTGAAGGTTGACATACTCCAGAACCTTCCAGCGCATAGGACCTGCGAGTCACCCTCACATGCTTCCCTTAAGTATGACAACATTGAGAACAATCAACTCTGGGTTGGAGATCAACCTAAATGGATCGACAAATTTAAAGCTAGTAACTGCAAGACTTTGAATGTTTTAGCTCATATTTTTTGTGAATCAAGACCAAACAACATGTTATCATTAGTGCTGCAGAAGATTATGTGTGAGATATGTGTCATTGAAGATGTGGATGATACATGGTGTAATGCTGTGAGTTCCATGTGTGAACTTGTCAAGCAATATGTTGAACTAAAAGTTGAAACAGACATAGAAGAGGTTTATGTCTGTGCTTGCCTTCTGAGAAGGTACACATTAGTCTTCTAGAATCATTGCCTCTGCAATATCTTTACATTCTTTCATGCTAGACTTTTTTTTTCTTCTTGCAACTCTATTTACATTGCCATGATATGAGAGGGGGTAACTTAATTACTAATAAGCAAGTCCATACGATTACGAATTAAGATAACTAAAGTTTTAAAACAAAAACTATGTCTAACTGACGTTGCAGTTTTCAAAAGACACTTCGAATGTTGTCGGACGAAGGAATGTACGTTTTTTCGAAACGAAAAGAGAGAAACGACTGACAACTTCACATGTGTTTGACGTGAATTTGAATATATTAGAGATTTAGAGGAATTAGAGGGATAGACATACAGTAATGCTACCTCAAAAAAATAAGAAATACAGTACTCTAGTAATCATTTGTTTTGCATATTCATTAGTTGCCGGCATCTCACTCCTATTGAGTTATGGATCATGCATTCTTATTCTTATTACCTGTCTTGGAATTGACTTTTTCTGGATCCTTTGTTTGGCACGTGTTAGCGAAACGTATGGGGGAGGTCTACCGTTGTCTTACGTGAAGGACTAATTTATTACTACAAGTGGTGTGTGGCCTCTGCCTTTGTCAATGATTTGGCAATACCTGATTGATGATCGCAACACTCTCCACAATCTCAACTTCACCACTCTCTGAGAGTAGGTTTCAATTTGCCAACATATATATCTTTTCGAACTTATTTCACGGGGGGGGGGGGGGTCTTAGCAACTTGCCAATGGTGTGTGGCAATTAGGTTTAACTTGATCTGATTTTCCCAGAAATGGCTTCATTTCGGCATTTTACGTATACAATCATTACCTCTTGGAAGAGCAAGATATGGCCATTGATCGAGGCAGATGACAGGTTAAATGGGTATTCGGTTGGGCTTAAGTGAGAAAACAACAGAGGTGACCAAGGACACTGGAGACCTATAGGCCGTGGAAAATTGTCCTCAACAAGTTCCCTGCATTGCATCACATTCTGAGCTTTTATGCCATCGGTAATGATACCCTAAAACTCAAACTCCTGCTAGGCCGTGAGTTTACGAAATGTTGCTCTTCAAAATTGGTCTAAAAAACAGGAAGTGTTGCTGCTAGGCTGTGGTACTGTGCATTCTGTGCTCCAGGGGATCGATCAGCCATACTTGCTTGGTTGTGTATAGATGTTGAGAATCGCGACAATAACTTCTTGGCTGGAGATCAACCTAAATGGATGAAATTTATCGTGAATCGCCATTCAGCCTCCTCGGCAGTCTGCTCTTCAACTAATTTCTGTTTTAAAATTGAGAGAACAATCGTACGGTGCAAACCTTAATAACCATGAAAATTTATAACATACTCGTATTAGAATTTGAGATTTGGTTCTCACCCTCTATAATTTGCTCTTTCTTTTCTGCATGTCTTGTTTCATTTTTGAGAATTAAAAGAAATTATCGTGAAGTTGTGGTCTTTGTTTTGGGATTACTATGAAGATCATATTT